ATAAAATGTTAAGTGCATAGAATGGGGAGAAAAAAAAAGGGGGGGGGGAAGGGGAGGGGGAATTTGCAAGTATCAGAAACATCTCACAAAACGTAGATCAAGTCTCATTTAAATAGTATATATTAATTGATAAAATGAGAAGTGTGAGATTGATTAAAAGTGTGTGTTCAGGGATAGAGGAAGCCCAAGAAGGAAATACATGTAGAAGGACGTCATGAATGTGAGTCACACAATAAAAATGAGGGGAAAGACATCTAAGAAGCAACAGTGTGAAGGGATTCGTGGAGGACACAGCAGTAATTCCTGGGAAGGGATGTGTTGTTGTTGGGTGAAGTGATGGGATAAACCAGATTCTCACTTTTTTCCCCAGCCCGTGCATTAGGCAGGATAAGAATTTTGAATATGTAATGTATATCTATGCTTCTTTCTTTCATTTATACTCATGCAAATATATAACACAGCATTGTTATTTTTCTCGGTCTTTCCTCAACATATACTGTACTATTCATATTCTATTTAGGACAATATCTTCATTTTTTTACTTCTTTCGGTTGCCAAAATAATTCTATATACGAGCCAAAATAGTTGTTTTAGTAATCACTAAGCTATGTACATATCTGTACAATATTATGCAGGTACATCTAATTGGTGATCTGCTCTTACATTTAATGTATAATATAAGAACAATAGAAATGATGATTCTCTATATTTTCTGTAGTCAAAGAGGAAAACTCCAGTGGTAGATTTGACTAATCCAAAATTTTAAGAATCAATAGCTCACATGCTATTCAACACACAGAATGCCATAACATAACACTTTCAAGAAATGGGTGCATGACCCCACCTTATATAAACAAATGAATTACAGGCCTGTATTAAATATTGCCTGTATTTTATATCATCTGTAAATGTATCTTTAATTAGGAAGGTATCCATATTATCAAGAGTTGTCATCTTTAGGCCAAAACATGCCTAAAAGACAAACATTTAAGACATCATATCTGAAATCATTAATACAGTATTTCTTCTCTAGCATCTCTAATAATTTTAATTGAGAGAAAAAAAGAACTTGGTGCAGTTTACACAAACAAGAGAGCATCAACAGACAACAGACACCTAAAATAGATGCATCAAACATCAGGATATCAAAAAGGTGCACATAAATTTGTTGAAATAGAAATGCTGCAAAAATAAGCTATGAAAGGGTGAAGTATAATAGCATTTGGAGAAATTTCAGATTAATGAATGAAAATAATCCTTCATCATTAAATAATCACAGAAAAACTCTACTGAAAGCAATCTAAAATCCCTAAACTCTGAGTATATAGTGGCATTAATGAGATATTACGCAGATATCTAATCATTTAAATATGACAATAGGAAGGCTTTGGATATTGACAAAAATACTGTATACCCATTCACTATCAAATTCAAAAGAAGTTATCTAGAGTGATGGGGAATGTTGAAGTGCAGACTAATCACATCACAAAATACTGCATCATATCACACACACAGAGGCATATCCTTTAGACAAAAACCCAGCATTGCATGGTTAACTTAAAATGTACTTTCATATAAAGTATACTTCAGTGCCTTCAAAATGTTTTGACATGCACTTTAGTAATTATCAATGAACCACACACACACAGTATTCCAAATCTTTATGACCAGGACTTAATCATTTTTTCTTAACAAATGATTCATCAGAAAAAAAAAAGATGAGGTACAGTACTGGCATTATGATAATTCATATACATGGAGTTTAAAAGACATTGTAGAGGGTGTTCTACAGAAGGCATTGCTACTTCATTACCTTCTGGCAATTATGCACGGTTGAGAAAGGTCCAAAGCACGACCAGACAATATACAGTAGTAACCATTATATGGTATAAGTATCGTGAATAACCGAGGTATATTATCTTTTATCTACTTTACTTGTTTACACATGAAAATGACACTCAATTACTGTCGAGATTTTAACATCAACAAAATTAATTTGGAAATATCCGCAAATGTCTGCCAATTTAACAAGCCATATATAATTAAAAGAAATTATCAGAAATTCAAATCAGACACCAATGGAAGACTGTTACAATAGGTAGGTGAGAAAAAAGGGGGGGAGTGAATCTATGTCCTCCACTCCGGCAATATATACTATTTAAGTTGGGTGTTCTTTTTAACAAAATACATCTCTTCAAAACATGAATTATTTGTAGATGAACTTAAATTAAGACAACTGAAATGGTTATCAAAATATAGTTGAGAAATGAAACTCAGACAGATATATGAAGAGGCAAATAGACAGATGTATAAATGAATGGATTGAGGGAACCTACTTTTGTATTTGCTCATAACTCCAGTGAGTGGGGGGATTACAATTTTTTCATCTATTGGGAATATAGGACACTGCGATAATGGTAACTACGGAAACATTACTGAAAAAAAAAAATTTGAAGCATGCACAAGTTTTTAATTTCTCCCCTCCTATTGCAAACCCATTTCCACTGTTTTCCATGGTGAACTGAACCAAGAGTAAACACAAACTCTTTATTCATTCACTCTTACTGCTGTATCTTGTGTGGTCTGGTACAGGCATTGCATTTCTTTTCCATAACAGGTCCCCCAAGATATTTTTCTGGCTTACCAGTTACTCCACTCAACTAAACATTACCCATCAGCAGCACAACCATCCCCAAAAATCACTCTGTCAGACTCTGGTCATTTACACAAACCCCTGCTTTCTGGATGCTCATCCAAATGCTGGGACATCCAGATCCCTTTCATTCCTCAGTGATTCTATAACTGGTTTTCTTTTCATCCTCATTCCCTACATGGTAACCAATAGAATACAGTGCTTGCTTCATATACTGTGAATGGACACCTCACTTCTAAGTTGAGGAAATGAAAGACTTTAGGCTAAGTGCCTCTTCATGTGCTGTACCCACAGTGGCCATAAAGGACAATCAGGCCAATTGGACTAACTTACCAAATCCAAGCACATTTAAACATTCGAGTTGCCTTAGATCTTTTTTCCCCCCCATGGGATAAATGTGCCATGGGCACATGATGAGGTCATTACATCCCTAATTATCTGAAAGCTGCTAGTCTGTTTCTTGTTTCCAAACTCCCAGTATTATTTCCATCTTCTTTTCCATTCCTAAACAATTTCTGTATCCTAAAATTTTTTAATTTTTTTAGTTCCTAATGCATGTACTGTACAGAACAGTAATCCTCAGTTAATTATTAAAATATTCCTTGATGCAACTGTTAATTATTTTATGCATGTGATAATCAAAGACAAATGCAAAATTCAACAAAAATCTTAAATGCTTTTACCGAGTCACTTACAAATGATTGGAGGAAGAAGGTATACATTACAAATATATTTAGCTAAGATTTTACAATTGCCAACCTATTCTTTGTGAGAAAATTCACCTTTGCTATTGGCAGATCCTATTTTAATTTTTCATATTCAAAGACTTGAGAGAATTTGTTTCTGAAGACATATCTTCGTTTTCTTTTAACAAATTACTGCTGAGACTAAATAGGATACCCTCAGTGAAACAAATACCACTGCTGTCCATTTGCTGGGTTTGTAAAAAGCTGGTACAGTACAGTAGGCCCTTCAAATTCGCAAGGGTTAGGTTCTCAAAATGGCCACGAATCGCCAAATCCACAAATAACATTTGCTGACGGGGGGTTTGTTACATTTTTACTTGTGTACAAAGAAATATATATTCCCTATATGTGTTTGCTCTTAAGACAATTATTTCTTTTACCTGTATTTTGTGTGTATGTGTAGACATACACACACAAAACACATAGTACAGATAAATAATAATGGGAAAATCCTTTCCCAAATAATCATAAACAAATGTATTAAAAATGTTGAGTCTACCCTCAAATCTATTCTGTGCTTTGTTATTAATAAAGCACAGAGTAGACTTGAGGGTTGACTCAACATTTTTAATACTACATTTGTTTCTGATTAATTCTGAGAGGATTTTCCCATTATTATTTATCTGTACCTGTATGTGTTTTATGTGTGTCTACACACGCACACACATATACTGTATATACAATACAGGTAAAGGAAATAACTGTCTCCAGAACAAATGGCTTCCTGTCCCGGCTGCGAAAATGACGGCAATTTTAAAATTACCAGCAGACATTCTTGGGTACATCCAGGGTGCCATCCGTGAAAAATAGAGGACCGCAAAATAAAAATCATCCACGAATTATCCAGGTGAACTGTACTTGCAAAGTTCCTGATATTAAGTAATGGGAGAGCAAAGGTGGTAATACAGAAATAGAATGATCTTTAAAGTTACTTCCTTCATGACTGAACTAGGTGTGAGAAGCACTCTGAGCTTCAGAAAATGCTGCAACAAATCCGTTATCTTCATTTTAAGTGAGAAAAAAAATCAGTTCATGCAAATTCCTTGAATACTTCAGCAGAATTCATTGCATGGAATTCATAGAAGCTATACATACATTAACAACTGTAGTACCCATGATGAGATAAATATCAAAACCATCAGAAAGTCACCAGTAGATGAAATGATGATGATGCCACCAAGTTGGAGTGTGTCTCGTGAGACATGAAAACATGAAGTGTGGATGATTCTAAAAATGTATGAAACTACTTCTTCCTGTCAGGTGTATTTCTCTTTCATATAAATTCATCCAAGACATACCAAACCATCTAGTTTTATAACACCAACTATATTTGTCTTCTGTAATTTCTAGGTTACACCATATTTTGTCTCTTCAAATATACGTTTCCATCTTTTAGATTAATCAATTCAAATTTCAATACCAGTTGCCATTAATATGAACCTCATGTTTATATCACACACATGTTACTGAACTTGCATCAATGCCAAAAAAATTATTAAAAAATCAAACAGTATTAACTTCTTATACAGGACAAAAATTAAACATTAAAGCAAGAGTCATCAGGATACGCCTCCAAAGAAAACAAATATAAGAGAACTCACCTCCTTTCCTTCCTCAGGGTCTTCATCATCCCGGAATTTGACGACAGAAACTCGTGACACTTCGTGCTGATCGTTGGCGTCCCAGCTCACATCGTCATCTTGCGCCCATACACTTGCTGCGGGGCCGATGGCGGTCAAATTATCGGTGCTCAGGTCGCCAGTGCGGTACAGCCTGCCCTCGCTACCAGCCATACCACAGGCGTACTCTATAACAAGGGACGACCCATGCTGACTTCACTGACCACAGACAAACTCAGACCTGGCTGGCTGGCAACATTCAGACACTTGGCCGGGTGACAGACCACAAACAAAGAACTGACAGACCACAAGTAAGCATCTGAGGCTGAGAACAAATTGGCAGGCACCTTAAAACACTAACCAAATACAAGACCCCATTGTTAAAACAAACAAATTTATATCACCGATGGTACATACATTACTCTGGAAGAAACTTCAAACTATACCCAAAAGGGAATAGGCAATACCAACTGTGGCATAAGAAAAAGATACAGCCAACAACAATACACAGTAAAATCAGCAGTTTCAACAAAAAACAAAACTAATATAGTAAGTATCAGAAAACCTACGAGAAGAAAAAGAATTAAGTCTGTGGTAATGAAAATGAAAGTTTATCCTGAAAGCAGCAATGAAGTGATTATATTAATGTCCTTCTTTAAAATAATGTTATGTTTAGTGAAACCATTAAATGTATTAAAGTCATCCAATATGTACACTGTTTCCTGTGATTAAAAGTGAAAATAGTTATCCAGGAGGAGCAGATTTGACAGTGCAGGAGCTACAATGTTTAAGTTCACATGCATCATAGGAGGTGGATAGAAACATTTTCATCACATTTTCCATTAAGATCAGAATTATCAGAAGTCTGTTCATTAAGAATACCCAGTAATATAGACCAAAGTGTACATTAAGAACAACTCTCAATTCCCAGTATAATAACGATATATTTATCAAACAGCTTAATGTTCAATTATTAATAAATAATCACCTCTCACTTAATATTGACTGTGTTTAGGTTAGGACAATACCTCCCACCTTGAACTGAACCAATCATCATGCATCAACAGTAATCAAATAAATTCACTTTTATTTTACTTTTTTCTTTAAGAACCTTGAATGACAGCTTTATCTTAGTCATTTTGATTAAACACTGATGTTGCAAGTAAAACGTGTGTATATCCGCATCAGTATACAGTACAGTATATCATTCACTTTCACAAACTGTCACCAGATTGCTGTCCAGAAGTAACATTGTTCATGTCCAAAGTTAGCCTCACTCACAATGAAATATAACTGGAAGAATGCATGATCATCATTGAACAATACATTAAGAGTGATTACTTCAAAATTTAGTTTTGGTGGTCAAAAACCATCAAAATCAGTGATATGGAACCTGGTGAAACAAATATAACAAAAAGGCAGTGTCAATCAAGTGCTCTTTCTGCAGGAAAATTGGAGGAGGTATGGAGAGCAATGGAAAATAACACAAAAAAGTCCGAGAAGTCTACTGAAATAAAATCACTGTTCTTTCTTCAGTGCAAGTAAAGTACTCAAAAAGCTTAGACTTTATTCATAAAAAAAAATTATGTAGTGCATCAATTTCTGCAGCCAGATAAAGAGAAATCCCTTTCTTACTATGAGTGGCTCCCAAGGCCAATAAGAGAACAAGATAATATTAAGGGTGTCCTTTTTTGTGTGTATTTTTTTTAACAGAAAAGAATGTGTCCATCTTTTTGGCTATATTAATTCACAAAAGACCTTTTTACAGTAAAGTGAACAAACCAAATACAAGGCACAAAAGGCTTAATTCACAGAAAATTGGTGTGGTGTGGTGTGATGTATGCCACCATATAGTTAGAGGCCCAACTCCTCACAGAAACAGTAACATCAAAATGGTATGTAAACAACATTCACAAGTTTTCAGCACATCTTACAGAAGAGGAAACTGTATGAGATTAGTTTCAAATGGATGATGCCACAAGCCATAATTTGATGTACATCATGAATGAGCTTCAGCTACACTTGGTGACTGTGTTATGTTCAAGCCAATATGGTCACCTTAATTTCTGAATCTTTTGTCACCATATTTCTTTCTTTGGGGATATATGAAGGACAACATCTGTATTATAAATCCATAACCTTTGATATATTAAAAGCAAGGACCAGCAATGTCATCAAGAATACTGTATTTCTCAAATAATGTTAGTCTGTATTACAAAACATGCCGAGATGAGCAAACTTGTGTATCTAATGAGACGGTGGGCATTTTCTGCACTTCATTATAGGCAACCATATAAATGATTACTATAATCATGTGCATGTAGCATCCAAATTTAATCACACTAATTTCAAAGTTTCTATCTGATTTACGTCCTTAGATTTACCTGTCTTTCAGGGTTCTCAAAACAATAAAACATAAGCAAAGTAATTGTAGCGAACGTCTTCCACACCATTATCTTAACATACTTTTGCAAGTTTCTGTCCAGACTTTCCCTCTTACACTAATTGTATATCCTTACACTTTTATAAAGATTGCATGTACAAAAAAGAAACTGGAATAGGATATATAGGACACTAGAGGGATACACAGTGATTTGAGAAATGTTAAGATAGGTGTGTAGTGGTGTGAGAGCCTGAAAAAAGGGTAAGGTAGATTTGGATTCAAATTATGCACCCTGTATCCTGACAAAGGAAAAAAGTGTTAGGAATTAGTGCCAAATCTCTAAAGAGCAATAACTAAGACCAAAAATTTTTAAGTAGGAGGTAAGCTGATTGGCATGGCTTAATGTACCACATAATTATACTAAGATGTTGGAAAATAGATAAGAGTTCACCTATAATGGATTTGGAGAAAGTCAATGGCTATATTGATATCTTTTTGATTATGGAATACACCATATAGCATACAAATTTAATGTAGTGGAAAAAAGTCTTGGCAGTGAGAGGTTTGTAGAAAGAGTAATACAGGAAAGCCTCCCATAACGACGGTTCTACCAACGACGATTCATATTTAAGACCCTGGTTAACTTAGGACCCAATTCAATTTACACCATCATTTCATTCGTATTTACGACGAAAATTTAATAAAAAATAAAGTAAAATTGTATTCTCATATAAATAATAACTAAATTCCGATATGTATTATACAAATAAAAAATAACACGCCTTGCGCACGGAGGCTGCCGGGCTTGTGAATGGTCATGCCAGCATCACTAGTATAAACAGTTCCAGCTTGGCGGGCCTTTTGTTTCACGCACCTGAACAGGAAAAGGAGAAAAACATTCTCAGGTTTCTTACAGCATTTTTGTGTCCCTATTCAACATGAGCAAGAGAGCAAGTGATGGTAGTGCTGGTTCAAAAGCTAAAAGAAAGTGTATAAGCTTAGCCGAGAAACTAGATGTGTTAAAACGATATGAAAAAGGTGAGAGGTCTGTGGATATTATATGGAGCAAGCAATGAACATATTTTCTGAAGTGGATCCATTAACAGAAGCAAAGGATTAAAATTTAAATAAACGCAAATGACCTCTACATAAAGATGTATAATGAGAAAAGAAAGCAGCCGTGCAAGGTTCTTTCGACAGCTTTAGTATTTAAAGGCCTAAACCATCAACTTCAGCTGCACCATCAAATTCAGCATCATAAGCAGCTTCAGCAACAACTTCAGGTTCAGTAACAGTTTCAGCAACAGCTATGATATCTTTATGGAAAGCTACAGCTTCAGCCAGAGTTGAACCTGTTGACTTCGTCATCCGAGTAAAAACTCGCACAACATCATTGGCTGTCCTTATGTTTTAGACTTTACCACTATTGGTGAGTAGAATTTTTGTTTTACAATAGTAAGTATTATTTAAAACATATATGAACAGTATAAGTGTTGCTTTCATATTCTTATGTGGTGAAATGACAATGTTTTCATATATACGCAGTTAAATACGATGGTGTTCACAATCCATTTTGTTTTTTCTTTACCATTAATGGTTAGCTTCTTCCATTGTTCCATTTATTAACATTAAATAACATTAATTAAAACATAAAAAATTTTTTTACAGTAATTTTACAATAGCAACAAACAGGGTCTTGTTTTCTTCAGTTTCAGATGGATAACCGACATTACAGTGAATTCTGCTATAACGCGTGTTTTGACAACTCGAATTGGCTCTAACGCGATTTATGAATAGAAGAAAGATATTTGTAAAACGCGAACGCTTGTTTGCTGTAACACGATTTTTGCTTACTATTTCTCCAATTTTGTGGTATTAACTGTGAATATCTTAAAGAAGAATATCTCCAAGAAGCGTTCTGGTGATCGCAATCCCGGTGATGATCGTAAAAGAAAGGCTATAACACTTGAAAAGAAGCTCAATGTTATCAACCTCAAAATCACCCTTCTCCCCCATCAAGTTATATTCAAATTTTTTCAAGGTAAAGTGTTACATTTACTGTATGATTTCATCATTAGATAAGAATGTAACATTTATTTAGACTGTGCTATTCTTTGTGTTAGGGTAACTACTAAATTTTTTTCGATTTCGAGTAATCTGCACCTAACCCTATTTTCTATTGCGCGAATTTCTATTACACGATGTTTTACAAGAACACAAATATCGCGTTATAGCAGAACTGACTGTATGGGTGTAAACACTGATAACAACAATGGTGTCCCATCTCCTTTTGTGTGACCTTATTATTATTGATTTATATTGTACAAGGTGCATTCATAAACATTATTTAAAGAATATAGTTTGCATTTTTCATTACAGTGAACCCTCACTTTACGTGGTCAATTGAACCCCCGGCGGCCCGCGTAAAGCGAGAAACGCGTAAAGTGAACAACATAACATATGGGATTAACTGAAATAGAGACCGGGCCGACCCCCAAACTCCACTTTTTCCCGACACAATACGTACGTTTTAGTAAAAATAACATCTAACTTTATGATGGTATTCACACACACATAATATAGAAGGGAACAATCAATAAGATAATACAGGTTGACAATCCTTTATCCGAAATCCTTGGGGCCAGAGGCATTTCGGTTTTCGGAATTTTTTAATTAGTCCACCCGGGCATAGATCACCGACCCACATTGGGGCCTGGGGGATGTAAAAATTATAATAATAATAAATCATAGGTATAGGTCATGTTTCTCACTTTTGGTCTTTTTTTCATTCTTGTATTTCTTTAC